GATTTGTTTAGTTGTTTTGTGTCTAGAATACCATGAAATGGAAGTTTTCTTTCTGAGATTAAAATTTGTCTTATTTTACCAATTTATTTAATTATAAATAAATTGCAGAGAGTGAGAAGTGTTCAGAAGAAGAGGGCAGTATATGACATATTTCAGGTTGACAATGGAGGTGTGGTTGGGGGCAGAGAAAAATAGAAGAACATGGGTGAAAAAAATCTGTTTGTTTTCAAGGCTGTGAAAGTTTCATTCTTTTAAATAGGGATTTGCAGATGTATCATTGCAGAATTCAGTCCTCTGAGATACCAAGCACCAGTACTGGCTGACAGTTTTCTGACAGGAAAGTGTTCCTTTTGAAAGTGCTGATCTGACAGATTCAGAACGTTCCCCAGATTTGTAGCATTTCTCTCAAAATTTTTAATGAAAACCAGGTGAGCAGGTTTCCTGGCAGCCAGGGATCCCCCAGCTGCTGGCAAATAACCTCTTGGGAGATCCCAACTCCTAGAGTGCTTTCTAGCCCCCAGAGGAGCTAGTTGCTGACTGAACACCTTGGACAACTGCCTCCAATGGTTATCCAGCCCCAAGCACAGAAGGGAGCCAGGCAGTCCTGGGCAGCAGCTGTCCTAGTTATCAGATAATGGGGAACAATCTGAAAAAATCCAGCTTGATTTTCCAATTTGTCATTTTTCTGTTCACAATTTTATTTTATTTTTACTTTTTGTCCCAAATAAGAATGATCAAAAGAAAATCCAAGTTTTCTGTATTAGGGAAATTCTGTTTCCCAACTAGATTTGTTGAATTTCTTTTAGGTTCCAATGAAGTCAGTACCTCAGAGGTGGGGCAAAGACGAGGATTCAGAAGGATGAGCACATTTGAGAATGAGAACTTTTATAAAGAAAATAGTGAGGTAGCTTTGGAAGGGAGAAGAACATAGGGATATAGTGGAAAATCTAACAAATGTAGGGACTGGCACAGTTAAGAGGGAGGAAATACTAGTTGTAGTGAGGAGAAAGGGTGGCTGGAAGAAGAGGAAGGAATGAGTTTTGAAGGGAATGATTTTACAGTTATGAGCATCATAGAAAACAGGAATAGCAAAGAGAGGAAAGAACGTAAGTGAAACTAGACTGAGGACCATGGGGAAAAGAAAAAGAGATGAAGAAAATTTTGGAGGGAGAGAAGAATCTGGGGAAAAGAAAATGAAGGACTTACAGAGGAGGGTGAACAAGAGTGAAGAGAAAGAGAAAAAACTCAGGTGAGTTAGGAAGGTTGACTGTTCCAGTAGTTAAGATGCTAGCCAGTGGTTAAATAGGCTTGGGTTAAGTTTCCTGTTCTAGCACAGACTTACTATTTGACCTAGAGCAGGTGTCTTTGGGCCTTACCTTATTGTGAGTAGAGCTGGCTAGCAATTTTTCTACAAATGATTTTTGTCAGAAAATGCCAATTTTTGAAAAATGGATACTATTGCAGATATGTATTAGTTGGACTAAGCTTTCACTATGGAGGTTTCTTAGGACCCAGAAGGGTTTTCTGTTCAAAGAAAAACCCACCTTAAAATGAACAATAGTACAGTTTATCACCTTCACGCTGATAACCAGAGCAGTGATCTGAAACTAGATTTAATTCAGAATCTGGATTTCTCAGTCTTTCCTGACAGAGTTTTGTCCTTTATTGCCTGGTGGTCAGAGCCAAATCAAGGATATGAGAAACTCAGGGACTTGAATCTGGATCTTCCACATTCCTTACAATCCAACATTATAGAATTAGGGATAGATTTTTGAAGGAATGTGAGCTCAGTATTGCTCAGCACCACCCTGACACACAGCAGGATTTTTAGAATGTGTGGTCACATCTACATGAGACACTGACTGTGCAGCCATTACTGTACAGTCATTTAGTACTGGTATAAGCAAATGCTAAATGACTGCACAGTAACCGGAGTTACTGTGCAGCTGCACCAAGGAATGGCTTTTTTGTGATGCTGACGGTGCAGTAGCTTATGACTACTGCACAGTAGTGTTGTGCCATGCTTCCTGCAATGGGACACTACCGTGCAGTAGTCACAAACTACTGCACAGTCAGCATCTCATGTAGACCTGGCCTGTAGGTATGTATGTGTGAAGTTTTCAGAAATCCAGCATAAGTATTGTCCGGTCTGACCCCTCAAGGTAACTTGAGGCCCTGAAAAATCATGAACAACTGACCAAACCTCTATACAGGGATATCTGTTTGAAACAGCCACTGTGCAATCCATCACTGATTGCTACAGCCTCTACATTTTACATGGACATTTCCATTATCTAGTTCAATGCTGGATAAGAAGGAAAGAAGTTCCATTATACTTCTAAAGTCCCCTCTCAGTATTCACAGGATCCTGAACTCTGCATCTGCTGTACTTCAGTCTTCAGTCTTTGACCCAACCACAGAGCAGTCATTACCCTAGTATGTTGAATTTTCCTGCTACAAATTTTCCACTATGCTGTGATGTCATGAGAAGAGAATGGAAAGTGTGAACATCATGAAGAAGTAACAGCTGGAGGGACAAGCACAGAGGTCCCCTCTCTGAAATTACTGCTGCCTTTCCTCAGATCATGGAGGAAACCTGGAGAGCCTGGATCCTCTAACACATACATTTTGCAACACCCAGATTTGCTGAAACAGTTGGAATGAGAAGGCAACTGCACTATGAGGCACCCACAATGTAAGTTTACCAAGGAGCTTGCAAAGCACACAGTAAACTGGACATTTTCATTAATTATAATTATTGCAAAGATGTCAAGATGGGAAAATCCTCACTTGCCCCAAGCCCAAATCCAGGCACACAACGACCCTCCTCCAAGAGAGCAGTTTGGAATCACTCCCCGTCTCTGTATGATCGAATTCAGCATGACCTGGCACTTCAGCACCATGGATAAGGTTCAGTTCCATGGATAAGGTGCAGTACCACGGCTGCCTGATGACTTGTTTGCACTGCAACAGCAAGGTGTCCTGACTTGCTTGAGGGGTGCACCCCAGCCTTGCCAACTACCCATACTTTCAACTCAGAAGTTTTCACATGAGGCTGTTTCAGGTTTATCTCCAGCAGCCACTCTCAGGCACACCAGAGGTCCCAGGAGTAGGTGTGGAAGAAGGAGTCTGTGAAAGAACCCCACTGGCATTCTTCTAGATTTGAAGTGAGCCCCATAGGGTGTACTTGCTGTGAGCAGGACTTTAAATGGAAGGATAAATTAGCCTGTGCAGAGCCTTGTACTTGTATGGTCATATTTCTTCCAGTACCTGAGATAACTTATTTAAAGATAAGTGAAGTGCATGAATATCAATTCAGGAAGCTTGGGCCCTGAGAGGCATTACATGAGGCTGAGCATTGCTGGATGATGCTTCATAAGTTTGGACCCCATATTTCATGTCTGTGGCTATTTGCTCTGAGAGATTGGCAATGCTTAAGATGGTAATCCTTAGGTACTGACAGGTTAAAAAGTAGGCACCTAAAAAGAATTGGAGCAGCCACATTAAAAATTGCAGTTGAAATTAAGTGGAGGCTTAAGCCTAAGTGCCTCTTGAGGAACGTGACTACTGCCCACTCCCAAAACAAGTTCTTTCCCTCTCTTTTTCTCTATAATTTTCCATGAAGAGTAAAATATGTCTTGGTTTTGTATTAAAGCACAATGGAAGAAGCTTAAAAACACAAAAAAATATTCATGAAATGCAGGAATGTTGAAACCCTTTTCTGCCCATCTCTATTCGTGAGAATACATACGTTAATAGCTTAGGTACTAAAATAATGGGCTAATATAAGTCACATAGATAGGCAGGTAGGGGATCCGGAGAGAGTATCCACAGAGGAGCAGAGGACAATGAGATTAGATGGGAGAAGAGTCTCAAATGAAAGGGCATTGAAGGGCCTTCTTGCAAGTGGAAGAAATGTAGGTTTTGCACAAACAGAAGTCTGCATTAAATGGAAGGGATCTGAAGGAAGAGCAAGCTTAATATCGTATTTCTTTTAAAGGAAACAGGGAGAAAGTAATCTGTATTTCAAACTTCCACAGTAGTCAGTGAAGTCCTTTCAGTCTCTGCCCTAACCAACTTCTGGTTCAGAATTCCTCTGCTGCAGTTGACCTTGACTGCCTTGCAGTAAAGTCTGTGTAGGATGCAGCTACAGAATCTATCAGTCAAAGGCCTTAGCAACTCTTATTTAAATGGGTAACTTAGCTCACATAAAACCTGCTCACAAATTAACACTACAGCCTTGGAGTCCTAAAGATTTTAATTAATTCTAAGCAAGATGAACCATCTCCATTTTCCTAAGAATACAGTCATCGCTTTTTCTGCTGACTCTGCTTCTTTCTGCATTGTACATTATCACCTGTGCAAAACCTCTTAATTAAGAAATGTAACATTCAGGAACAAAAGGATTCTCATAGCCTAGTTCTGTTCGGTTTTTTTCCAGTACAATTTTTTTCCAGAAATGATGTGAAATTCCTCAGAAGAAAGCTATTTCATATTCCTAATTAAATATTTTAGACACTCCGTTTCTCTCAAAATAAAAGTTTGTTCTTAAAACATATTCTCACACACACAACCCTATTCACCTGTGATTACACACACAGAGACTCGCAAATACAAGATGCTGTACATACACATTCCCATACAGATAAGTTTATAGAAGTAGTTTCATATATATTTATTGAGTCAGTGGAACCAGGATTTTCACTCATCACATAATACATATGAGATATATGTATGTACCTGTATATTGCATGTACATATATATATATGCATACACACATTATACACATGCACAGAAGTACATCATAAATATATAGGTGTGCAAATCACAAGACAAAACATACGTCAGTCTGTCTCATTGTCATGAAAAAATACTCTGCTTAAGATGATTGCTATTTTTTTCCTCCAGTGACACAGTGGCCTCAGCAGAGACACATGAATTTAGTCAGAAGGAATGCATCTCTTATGTACATATTTGATTCTTTGCCTTTTTTACACAGAGGTTGAAAGATTTAAAGCAAAGGGAATTTGCCAGAAATGTGGCATCAAAGTCGTGGAAAGATGAGAAAAAACAGGAAAAAGCACTCAAGCGACTCCATCAGCTTGCTGAGTTACGGAAGCAGTCAGAATGGCAAGTATTTTAAACTTATATGATTTTTTAATACTGCCTTTTCTTAGTCCCATGAGAAATAGCTCTAACTTTCTTCCTGCTCTCTATTATGTACTGTGAACACATATACTATAACATACTTTCAGTTATCCTGGACTCAAAATGTTCCTGTTCTGCAAACCATAAAATTGAAAATCCCTGAATTAATTACTTGGCATTTGAAGGTTTGTGTTTTCCTCCCCTGTAGCCTGTTTAATCTAATCTGCCCCAAATTGAGTGATTTGAATATTATTTTTTATAATATTACTATTTTACCTTATTAACACTGACCTGAACAGATTAGTACAACTCTTAACATTTTATGAAAAGTGAAGAGACAAAGCAGATCATAAAGTCTCTGTGTTTAGTCTTTGAATTGTTTTTCATTACTTTTTCATTACTTTTAGTATAGTCAGACCATTTAGATATTTTGTCCCTAGAGTAGACAGAGCTATCATTGTGTGATTACCTCAGTTAAGTTTGCCCAGCATTGATTATTATAGAGATATAATATGAAGTCTATAATAATAAATATTTACATTTGAGAAATTTGTTTAATGACCCTAACATACACCAAATGCTTCAGTGGAATAGATAGTACTAGACCTAGTGTGTATGTTAACCTATGACTCTATAAGCTACAACAAGCTAAATAGCTAATGAAACTCCTGTCCTGCAGTGGAAATGATAAGATCCATTGTATACTATAGTCATTTACGCATATGTAATCTCTTTTGAGTAAGACATCACTTTGTCACACCTAGTGCTGACAGAATCCTCTTATAATAAAGTCTATTTTCATGCAACTTCATTCAATGAAATTTAACTACCTATAGGAGGATTCTTTTGTGTTTCTCTGCCACAGGGATATCTCTGCAGATATTCTTCTAAGGTGAGCAATAGGTGGGTGATTGCTATACCAGGAACAAACCAATATATCTGCTGTTAGGATGCATTGCAGTAGTTCTTCCCACTCCTAATGGTTGAGAAAATAAGTGGAAAATACTCCACTCCTTGATTCAGATGGGCTGCAAGATTCCTGACTGCTCTAGGCTTTTTTGGAGTAATTACAAGCAGAAGTGCTATTACCAAAATCCCAGTACCATTGAGTCTTTTGAGAGCCTATCTATGATCAGGACTTCTTTGCAAGCATTGACAGAGAATTCAGGGACAGTTACAATTACCTTAAAGATTACCCTTTCTGTATATCAAATCAAGATACAATCACATTTCTCAGTGATCCTCCATTCTCTTTTAGCCGACAAGATATTGCTACCACCCTAGTAATATAAAGAGGCAAGAAACAGACCTGTAAGCCCAACTTTTATTGATTATTCTTGTCACTATGCCTGACTTGCAACCTTCAACAGCACAGTACAGAGTCTCACCTATATTAGCCAGGGAAGACACAGAAGAAAGGAGGATAGTGACATGCAGATTGGCAGCATATCATCTTGAATTGTTGAAGTCTTCCCCAAAATCCCCCATGTTTACACCCAATATTTATGTGTGGCTTATTTTAATAATATCCTCTGATTGGCATTATTCAAATTTCTGTTCCACTGAGATCTAGGGAACTGGACTAAACCAGTTTTTGGTGTGGACCTGGAAGATACCTATTAGCTGGGGGTCTTTCTGCTCATGAAAAATACAGACTTAGGAGAGAGAACTTCTTCCCTCCTTTCCTCACCATCTGGGAATACTACTTGCTATGTTCTGTTTCTTTTACTTTGCTGCCTAGAGCAGTTGTAACCTCTGCAAAGATTCACTCTGGAATGGGCTTTGTGGCCTGCTCTAGCCACTTAGCATAAGCCTCTTGAAAGTGGCCAAGGCTGACACCAGGTTATCAAAAGTTTCATTGTAATTGCAATATGATGCTACCTGACTACACACAACTCAGCTGTTATCAAAAGGCATTGCATATTGTATGCTGATTGATTGTATACCTGCTTAAGTACATATCATTTGTAACTCAGGCTTTTGCTAGGTCTGTAGTCTGCACTGGTCAGTGTAATCTGTAAGTCACTGACCATGTGCACCACCGTTCTAGCCAGTAATGGCACCCTGAAAAAGACAACTCACTTGCTGTACCCCAAAGAGCTTATTCTTCCATGATAACAAATAAACAATATGGGGACTAATTTGGAACTCCCATTGCTATATGAGGGCTGTATGCATATAAACACATGAAATAAAGCCTTTGAGCCCACCCTGTCATGTCATTTTGCACCACCCATGATTGACGCAGCACCAGAACTAGAGGAAATAAGTGTTCCCTCACCATTTCCTCCTATATTTGAATTTTTAAAGACATGCTCTGCAGAGCTAGCAGCTAGATAGAATTTGACCCTGTTTGGTTAAAATATTTCCAACTTTTAAATCAACCAATTTACTACAAGTTAAATTTTAAGATTTTGCTTTATTTATTGGATTTAGTTTCCATGCTGCTTAGCTGTGTATTACATAATAGTTCTGTAACAGAGCTTCAATAGCTCTACTACTAATCATATTTTTAAAGCACTGATTGGAGAATATCTCTATGGAGGTTATAAATTCCCCCTCTCCAATACAAAATAAGGAAACATGGTAGTTTTCCTTTTTTTATTGTTTCATAGTCAAATTAGAATACTTTGAACTGAAATGAAATGACTGGGAAGGCAAATCACACATAGGTCAAGAATAAGACACAGGGGAAGATGATATGAAAGAAATAGCCACATACTGGTAGATACTGAAACTAGTTTCTTTTAATGTTCATGCACAGTTGCTATTAACATTAAAGGAAGTCAGTTGCACACACAAGTGTAGAACTGTATCAAAATAAAGTGCAGAAGAGGGAGGTATTTTATATATTTCTTGTTTATACTTAGCTTTTCTTTGAAAGTTTCACAAAAATAATTTTATTGTAAAACATGTTAGAAAGATAAAAATGGAAGAGATCATAAAAATACTTAATTCTGAAAGGAACACAGATTAAAATGCATGAAAAAGAGGTCTGAGTCTTCTGCCATCGAGTTTTATATGTGGCACCACTTCACAAATTGGGACTATCATCTCTATGGATAGTTTATACCAGTGCAGCTGTATGCCCCAGATACAATATTCCCAGCATGCCCCACCAAACCTGGCTCATGTGGCTTAATGAGACCACTCTGGGGTCTCAACCCAGGATGACCTAACTGGCAGGAGTGGTTGGGCAGGGTGTGCGTGGCCATGTTCTGGCTGGAGCATGCTGCTTCTGAAATGAAGACAAACTGTAGAATAGTTATCAGGAACAAGATTCAGATCTGTTATGCTGGTATAAATTCACAGTAACTAGTCAAGTTAACTGAGTTGACGTTGGATTTATACCAGCATAACTGAATAAAATGTGACTGTGCGCCACACAACTCATATTGAGTGTGGAGAATAAAGACTTCCTGGCTCTTTTGAAGGAGCCCAATATTGAATTGCTGTTGGAAGATATAAACATGGGTACAGTACAACAACTTCCCCTTTCAACAGCATGGATGACCACTTCCTTCCACAGGCTGATCCTGGTGAATACTAATAATTTCTAAATTAAACTTTAATTAATCTAGCAATTGTATTTATATATTTATTTATCTATCTATTTATAGCATCACAGGAAGTAGACCAGTGCTTAAAACTCCCAGACTGGTTGTGGAAAAGCAGCAACTGCAAGAAGGAATTTTCCTAGATAAAGATGACAAAATCTCAGTAAGGCCCATGTGTGAAGGACAAATTCTCCCTGGAAGCACTGTAGAGAAAGAACAACAGGAGCTCACAGCAAGCAGACACCAAGCACGTACTGAGAAAGTTTATTCACTTGGAAATCAGGTCTTGCAAGTGTTCCCAGATGGCACCAATGCTAGTCACAGGACAGGAGTGTCTTTCTCTTTCTCTAAAAAAGTCCCTTTGAAGTTAGAGTCATCAGCATCAGTTTTCAGTGAAAACAATGAAGAAGCATATGATTGCAGTGAATCACCCAACCATAAAACAAAGCAATCTCCTGAGAGCTGTCATTCTTGCACACTTGTGGCTGAGGATACAAACGCAGGTGTGGAGAAAGGGTTAAATATTCCTCAAGGTCATGCAGATATTGCAGGTAATATAGCTGCACAGACAAAAATACTAAAGGAAAATGATCAAAGCAGTGACAAAGAATTAGAAGAAACATTCAATGCTCATCCTTTATTTCCCAAAACCAAAACACATATTTCAAGTCTAGATTTTACTGGAACCCTAAGAGAAACAGAACAAGAAAGTCAGCTGAATGAGTCTGACAAACCCCTAGAAACTCTCATTTCACCTTTATGCCAAACTAGCAAGCTTTGTACACAGAAGAACACTTATAAGCACAGTGGTACCACATTAGCTAATAATAATGTAGCTGAGTTCCCACCACAGCAAACAGCTGAGTATGCATATGCAAGTGAATTACATTGCAATCTTAGTACAGTCGAAAGCGAGACATCCTTTGAGAGTTTAGGAACCGCAAGTGGGAACATGGAAACGCTTGCAAGGGAGGAAGCAGTTCAAGATATTAAGCCCAAAGCCCTGTCATTTCTTCATGTGATAAGCAAAGATGGCAGCACCGCCCTTCAGTGGCCCACAGAACTACTCTTGTTTACAAAAACGGAACCCTGTATTTCCTATGGCTGTAATCCATTGTATTTTGACTTCAGACTCTCTTTAAATCACAGAGATGGGAAGCAACCCACAACAAACAAAGCAAGCTGTAACAAGCACTCTACAAATGTGAGTGCAGATGAAAATGAAGCCTCAGGTTTAATAAAAGACAAGCAACTGTCAAATGAACAAGATAATCAGTCATTGAAACCAAAGAAGATGAAAGGTTCTCCAAGCCCTCGAAAGGCTGAGCAAAAAGCTGATTCAGACAGAGGAAAAGAAATGAATGGAAATGGTCAAAAGTACGTTTCAGATGATTTGAATGAAAATATACCCAAAGTGCCTGCTTACCTTGATGTCTCACAAAAGGATTATCTGAGAGAAAAAATTCTGGATGCAACATCACCTGGGAGATCTTTAAAGCCCCATTTCCATATCTGTGAAAGAAAAAAACACAGCATTGGAAATGAAAGCATTTCCTTTTCTGCCTTTACGTCTAGGACTAAAAAACATAAAGCTACAAAATGTGGTTTAATTTATTCTGAAGAAAAACTTGAAAACCAAAACAATTACAAATCCATTGAAAACTTACCTGGAGGCAGCAGTGACATAAGTGACAATGGAAGAGACTGTACTGGAAGTTTCCTTTGTTCTAAAGCAAGTTCTCATATCAGGTATTCAGAAAACGAAGATGATGGAAGTTATGCAAGATGCTGGCGGTTCTCACCTTCACAGAAGTCATCTTCTGATGGACATTCTAGCTATTCTGACAGCTCCATCAGCAGTACAATTAGCTACCTAAGCAGCTCCTCTAGTCACAGATCAAACAATCACAGTAGAAGTCATTTGCTCTTTTGTTGTAAAAGAAAAAATAAGACGGTTGAAAGGCACAAGTGTAAACACAGAAAGCACAACTGTATTTCCTCTTCTGATGATGCAGAGGAGGATTACTCCTTTCACACTGCAAGTCTAAGAACTAGAAACTGCACACAGAGGGATACAGTTAAATATCAGAAGCATTCAAGACCTAAAGGTTTTCACCATCCAGACAGATCAAAGCAAAGCAGGAACAGACACCGATATTCTGGCAGAAAACACACCCAGAGTAGAAGCTACCATTGCTCCAAACGTTTTTCTACCAGGGATTCAAGAAGCAGTGAAAGATCATCCAGTGGCAGAAGATCAAGAAGCAGCAGTTCAGGATCATTCTCAAGGCAGGCTGTCTATCTGAACAAAAGGAAAGCAGATACAGAGAGAGAGAATTACACTGCATCAGGAAAAGTTGAATCTACATGTTCTGACTCTCAGAATGCAAGATGCCCATCACAAGTCTTTGATGTTGGCTCTTCTGACACAGTAGGAGAAAGAAAGTCATTGACAGCCAGGCTATTTCTAGAACAAGTGCACTCCAAGAAAAACCAGGAACAAGCACATGATTCGGAGGGATTTCTAAACAATTGTAGGGCAGAACTGAAGGACCACTCACAAAGTCACTTTGCTATTAAATTTCCATCATCAATAGATGATGCAGAAATGTTATCTTTGCCTGAAGAAGCCCTACCTATAGGTAAAAACGAAGTACGGAAAACTGAAATCTGTTCGTTGGAAAACACCTCAGAGAAAGATAACTTTGAAACTTCGCAGATAAATAATGTTACTCTTACATCAGGTAGCGATTATGATAATTGTCTTTTTAAAGACATCATTCAAATAGGAATAGGCCATCAGGCTCCAAACTTAAAAATGAACACAGCAATAAAGGATCAATCAAATATTTTAATTAGTGAAGTACAACCCTTTATACAAAGCTGTGACCCAGTACCAAATGATTTCCCTGGTGCTTTTCCTTCTAACAGATATTCTCTTGTGGCTAATTCAATAGAGACCAAAGAAGAACTGCATGATGTAAGCATGAACTTGAATCGAGTAGAAAGTAATTTAAATTCTTATTTTGACAGTGCTATGCATAAATATGATGAATCAAAAAATGATTTAGAAGTGTATAGTAAATCCATCTCTCCTCCTCCTCTAACTCAGAAGCCTATAACTTTTTCCCCAGATGAAATAGACAAGTACAGGTTACTTCAGCTGCAAGCCCAGCAGCATATGCAGAAACAAATCCTAGCAAAGCATCTTAAAGTTTTGCCTGCCACAGGACCAGCTGCCTTCTCTGCTACACCAGCAGTTCAATCTGTTCCTGTCCAGCAACATGCTTCTCTCACTACCATACATCATACACTTCTGCAACGCTTTGCTGTCTCAACTTCCGTACATCCCCACAGCAGCCATCTTTCTCTGGCCCACATTCATCCCCTCTCTCAATCGCATTTCACTCCTATATCTCTTTCACCTTTTGCTCCAGCCATCATTCCCACTCACCCTACCCTACTAACAGGGCACCCACTACAGCTCATCTCCACCACCCCCATTCACCCTTCTCCCATGACCCTCCCATCATTGCCACACACTGCATTTATCCCTACCTTATTGACTCCCCACCTGAATGCAGCTGCAGCTTCTGCAATTCATCTGAATCCATTCATTTATCCATTGTTTCAAGGGCAAGATTTTCACCACCATTCTTGCTCTAGCCAGACCCAACAGTTACCTGCAATGAAAGAAGTTTTCAGCATTTCTGGTTATCTAAACTAGCAAAACTATTACTCCTTAGTTCCAGAAATCAGTTTGAAAGAAAATTATTTTTCAGTCTTCAAACATACATCTTAAGAGAAGCCTATGATTATGTTCAGAGCACATCAGCAATATTTAAATGTCAAGACTGTGGCTGACAGCATATGAATGTTGATTTGGTTTTCATACTACTGAGTAAAAGCAATTTGAATGCTTTCCACTTGATTAGAACTAGGAGGAGAGGGTACTGCTAACTTAGTTCGGCAGAGGGTAGCTCAGTTTCAGAAGAGATGTCTGAAGTAAAGTCTATGATTGATGTTAAAACTAGAAGTACAGCATGCAAGCATAATGGCCAAGTTTTCAACAAGGCTAATGATCAGAGGTGCTTCAATTTTAATGCACCCAACTTAGCAGCCTTTAAATCTGCCTGATTTTCAGAAGGTGAACATGAAACACTTTCAGGAGATCACGCCTGTTTACAGTGTCTCTAATTGGACAAAATTTAAAATAGTTTCTAGATGCTGGTGAAACTATTGAATAACATAAAAAGCCTGAAAGGAGATGAGTTACACCTGAGGCACAATTATCAAGACTGTTCAATCAAAAAAACCCAGATTCAGTAGTGATGTTACAGCCACCACATGTCACCTGGACAGTTGGAACAAGTTGTGATTCGGTCACAAAAGCACAGCAAAGAATTGCCTTGGTGTAAAGGGACTCTGTGGAACAAAAAGGTTATGATATTTCTGCCTCCTTTCTGAACACCCCCACCCACCTCCACCTTCTAATGAAGATCCATTAAAGACCTTAACTCACTGATAGGCCTCAGCAGCTATAAGGTGCAATGTGGCTGGAGCTGGCCTTGAGACTTGGAAAGCTGCAGCTGGTGCCCTAGTCTAGCTCTAGCCCAGGAAAGACTCTTACCTAAAGATTTTGTAAATATTTTTCCTACTTAAAAAAAAATTCTACAAAATGTTTTGTACCCCTTTCTGAGCACACGGTAAATTGAAAATATGTTGAAAAGTATAATGTAATATTGGTATTTGTTTGGCAACCATATCTTTACATAGCTACCATAAGGAAGTAATTTTCTGTAAGTGGATGTTGGGTATGAAAATGTTACCAAAAGACCAAATTCTGCTTCTGTCCTCTGCAATCCTGCTGAAACTCTATAACTCAGGGCAGAGTTTAGCTCTAATGGATAATCAATTCTCAATACTGAAAAAATAACATTGGACTGAAAAATTAAAAAACAAAACAAAACATAAAACACACTGGTGAAACAATGAACATACTGTGCAGTTTTTAACATTGTTCCCACGATACTCAGAATACAAATCCAGTAAAGCACTGAAAACTACCTTCAGCATAAAAAATTCTATTGAAGACATGGGGAGTGTTCCTGTGTATAAACCTAAGGATGTGCTTCTGTACCTTGCTGAACTTGGACCACACCAGTCATCTTTTATGATGTTATAATACACAACATTGGATATTCCTCATGAAATTGAGTTCTTGATTGTAGGTAGAGTAGAAGTATGCCTACCAACAGCATCAGCCAATGAAGTGGGTTAACAGATTGTACCTGTTACAAACGTAATGAATTTGAAAGAATTCAGTGCCCAATTAATGATTTACCCCAAATTAGTACTTAATACATCTAATAACCAACTCTTAAGCTTATTTCATGACATAGGGTAAGCTATAGAAACCAAGATACTTAACTGGGATTAAAATTAGGAATTTTAAAACCAAAATCTATGATTGAATTTTCTAATTTGTTTTTAATCAAACTAGACTAAAATAATCTAGTCACAATCAAGTACAACTGCACTTTTTATGTTTAAAAGTATGAGCAATGGATGAGCTCTTCAGAGTAAATTGGTATTATTACACCAACATGTTTAAGTGTTTGCTAATTTTGATCCACCCGCAGGCTTAATTTTTCAGAGCTTTTGTCAACACCTGTTAGTAAACTAATCAGCAGCTCTGAGAAATAATAGATTGATGATCAAAACAAAAAATTGGGAAAAGAAATATGATCTGCGTCAATTTTTTGTCAGCTTTCCAATGAAACAAAGACTTAGTTTGATTCAAACTAATCTATTTCATTCAACCTAAGACAAAACCATGCTTTTTCACTTTTGGGCCATTTATTCCTCCCAATGCAACCTATTTTCTTTTAGATTGATTGTTTAAATAAATAATGCCATTTTGAAGAGAACAAAACAAAACACTTCAGTTTCAAAATGTTAAAACATGTAATTTCCAGGTTCCCGTTTTTGGACAAAGAGCAGCTAAAATAATTTATCAAATTAAGCCCAAATTCACAAATAGTTTCACTTCCCACAAATGTCCATATTTTGGTGAATTTACAGTTCACTGAAAAAAGTTCAGCCTCTTCAAATCAAATCATCTGTGTTTCAAGTTGTTTATCCAAAATTGGTGGACACAATAAGCATTATTTAGTCAGACAGGAACCACTGCCTGAATAGATGCCTACAGATTTAAGTGTTTCAATTCAAAACAGTGGAAGTGTTTCCATTGTCTTTAATAATTAGTTGGAAACTCAACTAGATATACTGCCAAAACAGAAGAGGAAAAGGGGAACCAGCAACATGACTTCATGGTGGAGCTCAAAACAGTTTTTGGTTTTAATTTTTTTGATTCATTAATCTCTCTATCAAGGAGATAGAAAGATTGCTTGTTACAAGACTCATAGTGGTTCATGTTACCCCAAGTGTGTTATGATTGAATAGATTTGACATCATACAGATAAAATTACATTAAAACAACATCTGTGAAGTTTTTAATGTATTCAATAATGGAGTTTTAAACAGTATTCAATAGGAATATTTTTTGTGAAAAAATAGAAAGCAGACAAGATGTAAAGGTAACTAATCACCAGCAATAAACAGACATGCATAAGTATTTCAAACTGTTTAAGATGAATAAGCTTACTCAAGACAGATGCAGAAATTAACATGTCTATCAGGCCCTCCAACAGAGGTGCAAGGAATGCTGCAAAAGCACAGGTGTAGGATCTTGACCTCTTAATTCTCAGAGTATCAATTCTGAACCCATTTGCCAATTAAAAAGAAGGGAACAAGAGTGTGATTCTGTTGGGAGGGGTGGAAACAATACCTTTTCAAGCCACTAAAACAATACGTTTTCAGGCCATTTAACCCCAACTAAATTTTGCTGAAATAACATTCTTAAATTCACGAGCAAATATATGCATGTATGTATAGTTATGGTATTTGCATATGCATATTAAACAGCACATGCAAACTGATAGATATCCAGCTGCACACACAATTGCAGTAAAGATTTGCAGGACAGTAGATGCACAAACACACACAGATTTTTATGTATGAACTTCACATATTAAATCAAAACCTGATGCCGATATTCAAATTTACCCATGTGGTCCTGTGGGCTTCAGCAGAATTGTTTTAATCTTTAAATTTAAGCATGTGCTTCAAAATCCCATTGTGTGTGGGATGAGGAACACGTCTTCTTAAAGGTAACAAGAACTATTGACAACAGCAAAACAAATCTGAAAGAAAAAACAGAAACAAAAGTTGTGACCCATGCAGTATCACTTTGCTAGTAGACATCTAATAAAATACTTATACACATAAACTCTTAACATACAGTAAAATAAATTAGTGGTATCCTGGAAAAAGTCCTAATCAAGAAAAAAAGTTGAGCTTTATTGCTTTTGACAACTATGGCAGATGTCCAAGAAAGCAACAGAGAGCGATACAAAACAAACACCTAAAAATGGAATGGTGAAAAATAAAGTTATTAATGGAGAAAACAGAGGTTAAGAAGGAATAGAAAATGAGTGAATGCAAAATAGCTACTCTGGATGCAAACAAAGGGAAGCTAAAATGGATTTCTTAGTACATTTCAGTAGATTTTTTTGAAAGAGCTTGTTAAACAATTATAGAATTCTGGATGCATTATTTGCTGTATTTACTTGCATACATTGTATTTTCCAAGTATATTATTTTTCAACAAATTTATACATTATTTATACCAGCATTCTTGGATCTGATATATGCAGCCAAGTTTCAATTCCTGTTCCATTCAGAACAATTTTAGAGAGAGTTACAGTATCCTGGTGTTATTGGTATGTGATTTCATATGGGATATGCACTCAAAGTCAATAAACTATTCTGGCATCATTGTATATTACTTTGCCCTTAGTCTAAAAAATATGGGTCACCAATTATTGTACAATTCCAATAACAGAATTGAGTTCCCTATCTTCCAAAACAATGCAACTTCTATTTTTATTTCTGGAGGGGAGGCATACCTGTAAAATACAGAACATGTACATTTGTTGTGCAGATTTGCATAAAAATGCCATTTAACCTGATTGATTTTAAAAGTGTTTAGTTTATATTAAAACTGAAAAATACTCTGGCTAGTATAATATGTAAACTAGTAATTTTGTTTTGTATTCTCTGTATAAAGTGTTTTATATTATACAGTAGCTAAGTGAATTGCACTATTGTACATGCAATGCAGCTTTTTTTTTAGGTTATTCAAAGAATTCCTGGGAATGTAGTTTAATGCAATAATATTTTTTTTCAATAAAAAGGCTTACTGGTATAACAAGTGTCAGTCATGTATTTTTAATGTGAAGCAAACCAAAATGCAGCAACAAAGTAAAATGCAGAACGAGGCAAACATATTCTGTATTTTAATCTGCAGAACTGAAATGCATTTCATTTATCCCTGTGGCTACAATGCTGAAATTTCTTAGAATCTTTCTTAAAGATTTTAGTATGTGTTACAAAAGTGGGTTGTTTAAATGAAACTGAAAATAAATATTCCTTAAAAATTATTCTATGATGTGTTCTTTGCAAACACTTTTTAATGGAGCAATGTCCACTTGGATATTTTTATGCAATACTCAGTTTCTTTAGAATTATCCCTGTAACCCATTTTTCAAAATCTACAGCAAACATTCTTGCACTTGGGTAGGACTGCTTTTCTTTTATATGTTTGGATAGTGTTTTGCACAATGGCATGCAGATTTAGGCAATATCATACTATAAACAGCAACAAAGAATATCAGCCAACCATAATTCACTTCAGGAACTCCATTTCCAAAGCAGTGTCAAAAACCCCCTCCATTTGGTTTATCCAGAGAATAGTAGAAAAACACAGAATAGTTTAATTTAGCATTGTTATGTACAAGTTCTGCCATCACGTCACACCATGAGGAATTTGGCTTAATATATTCAAGATAATCTTTAAAATCAGAGATGATCACAAATGGAGAAAAATTCATAACTAGTCTTGTAAAAATATTCACTCTTCATCCATTTGATATTTCAACAAAACAATTCATTGAAAAGTTGAAATCCACAATTTGTGCTAGTTCAACTAAATGTAATCTTTGGTTTGAAATGTAGAATTATTGGTGCATTGTGATTTTTATCTCAAGAGAGACTCTCAACTGATAGCAGTGCCCAGTTTTTCTAGATGCTGCATAAATTTTTGCTGAGCAGGGAACTAACAACTAAGAAGCCATTGTACAGAGGCTGCAAACAGGGTAAGCTGTTTGCAGGGAGTTTGCTGGGAGCAAGAGGAGGAAGGAGAGGAGAAGCCAGGCACCAGACACCAGATCCTGCCCAGGGAAGGTAAGTGATCCAGAGCTGCCTGTGCCTTTGGTTTGCTAAGTGTTTGTTTGGTGGGCTTTGTGTGTTTGAGATGTATGCTCTGAGAGTCTGGGAGTATTGCTGGCTGAATGATTGCTGTCTGGGCCTGACAGAAGCCCT